ACGCCCAAGTAAAAAGTAAATGGCGCTTGTATCTACACACTAGTGCGTATGTCCACATGCAACAATTGGTTTTGATGCTATGCTGAGTCAGTGGGCTTGTCAAGCATATGTTGGATAGAAAATTTGTTGTATTCATGTAGGTTGGTGAACATACATACATACATAATACTTCTAATTATATTATATAATATAGAAAAGTATTTCCAAATCTCTTATCTATATATAGATGCATTTTATTTTTATATGTAAATACAAAATATATCGAAAATAAAGCCGTTATATTGGTAACTTCAGTTGTAATGTACTATAAATGAAATGACTTATCATGTGAAATTTAGTATAATTTTTACCAAATATTTAAAATAATAATATTGATGCTTTAACGCCACAGCAATCCAAGTGAAAAATATACAGCAAAAATACTCAAATCAGAGCGTATAGGCCCCGGAACTTCGTCTCAGTTATTAATGTTGTTTGCATGTTTTCCACTATGTGTTTAGCAGAATCATTTTGAAAAATTTTGTTTTCCTTTATTTCCGTAGCCGATCTACAGGGTGACCTCCGAAAAAATATATCTTGCGTTAAGCCCTTTCTGTTTAAAATTATCTCAAATCCAAAAATATGTATTACATTATTGCAATAGATGAATTCAGATAATGAGCGAAGTGAGTTTTGAATTTGACAAAATGGCGGCTTAACTTCTGTGAAAAAATTTACCTTTAAACAATCGAAATTATTATCAAAAATCTAAATTCTTCGATCACTACTTCACAAGAATTTTTTTTACAAAAGCCCATCAAAACGAGCGCCCGAACCTCTAAGGCTATCTTATTTTGCTTCGGAAGATTCTCGAGGAAATATCTAAACAAAATAGATATTTTCAATGAATCCCTAGGCCTGTCATTTGGCCATTAACAATTTTTTTCACAAGATTAAACCGCTTGTGTCGCAATAAATTTCAGAAGACATAGTCGTAGAGTTCGATATTCTGTTAGAATACTATTTAAATATCACAAAATTTGCGATGTACTAGTAACGTCAAAATAATATAATATAACAAGTAAAAACGTTACAGAGACATAAAAATAACTAATTCATGAGAATGCATTTATTGTTATAATAAATAAATATGTTTTTATTTATATTTTCCAACGCATAAGCCATTCGGCTTTGTTTAATATATGCGCATATATAAATAAGTAAACTTATATGCATAAATTTATAGAAATTAATCGGCAATCTCCTGTATTTATACCCGGTGTGCTAGTGAGCAATATTATTCATTGTTTTGTGGAATAAATTATTCCAGCTTCTAAGTACAGGTATTTATATGTACATATATAAAAAAAAAATGTTTAGTAACTTTGCTATTTTTCAAAAAAACAAATAGAATAATAAAAAATGCGACTTCTTCATTTTTAATTTATCTTCAACATTATTATTCTTTTATACCATATAACTATATTTAAAATTTTGTTGCAATCTTAGGACTTAAGTATATCGGTATTCTTAGCTTAAATCTTCGCTGGGAAAAGCTCGTTAAGCGCACAAAAAACTCGCTTAATAACTCTTATTTTATGAATGTACGTATGTATTACCCAAAAAGAAAATATGAAGCAATATGGCTACTCTTGTCAACATGTGTTCCGAATATGTGCCACACCAAAAATAATCTAAAATCGAAAGCTGTATGTTTGTGTGTCACAAAGTCACACTTTTGAATAAATTTCAATAATTTTGTTTTCAAAATTCATTACAATCACTTAAAGAAGTCTATTTGAAATGCATGATGGATGTTTTTTCAAGTTCGGCTCTAGCAAAGCTGACTTCGCTTGTTACTGCTCTACTTTTCTGCAATTTTGCATTCATTTGCAAGCATTTACATTGCATCTAAGTATATACATATATACATACATATTGTATGTATGTACGCTGGCGTAGCTTTAGTAAGTGTGCTGCCTTGAAATCGCTCTTTAATTTCTATTGGCGGAACGTGGCCTTTTGCAACTTTGTGATTGTGACTTGGCTACTACAAACATTTTATGCTCGTTAGAACCCTGAAAACGTGCTTTTGTGGTTGATTCGAAGCTGTTAAAATTATTGTGATTAATTTGATAAAATAAATCATATTTGAATTTTATTGCAATTGATGCTTGTAAATTGCCTAAAAAGCATTAATTACATGAAATAATTTGCTAATGACGAATTTGTAGGTAACTTTTTATAAAAATGTGTTTTAAATTACCACATTTGAGTGCCACATTATCAAAACAAGTTGGAAATAAATGTTTTATACATAAATATATTTACAAGCTTATACCTTAAGAGTTTTAAAATCTTTAACTGTCATTTGCAGTATTGATTTATTTTATTTTATGAGTGTCTTAGCTAATTCTAGACGTCAACCATAATAAAAAGAAGTACATTGTCGTTAGAACTTATTCAGTTCAGAAAGTCTTATACAAACCACACGCTGTTAAAGTCTATAATTAAATCATCTTATAATGTATATTTCTTCTATTTTCAGACAAAATCAAAATGTCTAATACAGAAAAAAGAGGAATAAGTGGATGCAGAGGTATGTATAATACATATTATGTGACAGTCGAAACATTTGGGAGTTAAAAAAAGAACTACTAAATATCCGTAGGTAAAACCCAAGAAAAAATTTAAAAGATAAACGGTAAAAGAAAGAAAACAAAAACTGACAAGTTGGCGGCCTTTTAAAAAAAGTTGAATTGTGTTCGTCTTTGGCCTGCCAAAATTTGTTTTTTGAGAAGAACAAAAAATTGACAGGTCGTTGTATGGAGACTTCATTCTTATTTTTATACTCTCGCAACCTGTTGCTACAGAGTATAATAGTTTTGTTCACCTAACGGTTGTTTGTATCACCTAAAACTAATTGAGTTAGATATAGGGTTATATATATATAAATGATCAGGATGAAGAGACGAGTTGAAATCCGGGTGACTGTCTGTCTGTCCGTCCGTCCGTCCGTCCGTCCGTGCAAGCTCTAACTTGAGTAAAAATTGAGATATCTTTATGAAACTTGGTAGACATGTTTCTTGGTACCGTGAGACGGTTGGTATTGCAGATGGGCGTAATCGGACCACTGCCACGCCCACAAAACGCCATTAATCAGAAACAAATAACTTGCCATAACTAAGCTCCGCAATAAGATACAAGACTGTTATTTGGTACGCAGGATCACATTACGGAGGGGCATCTGCAGTTAAAACTTTTTTTAAAAAGTGGGCGTGGTCCCGCCTCTAATAGGTTTAATGTGCATATCTCCTAAACCGCTAATGCTATAATAACAAAATTCACTAGAAGCAAATGTTTTTAGCACTTCTATTGACGGTGTGAAAATAGCTGAAATCGGGTGGCAACTCCGTCCACTCCCGATATAACGGTACTGTTAAAAACTACTAAAAGCGCGATAAATCAAGCACTAAACACGCCAGAGACATTAAATCTTATCTCTGAGATGGTATAAATTGGCTTTATAGGAACCGCGTTCAAAATTAGTCAGTGGGCGTGGCACAGCCCACTTTTAGGTGAAAACCCATATCTTGAGATCTGCTCAACCGATTTCAACCAAATTCGGTGCATAACGTTCTTTTCATGTTTCTATGTCATAGTGCGAAAATGGGCGAAATCGGACTACAATCACGCTTACTTCCCATGTAACACCATTTTCAATTCCATCTGATTCTTTCACTTTCCACTATGCAAATCAGGTAACAATGATTATATCGGGGTAAAACTTTGCGTGAATAATGCAATTAAAGTATGCCACCCTGCGGCCAAAAATTGTCTAAATCGAACCAAAACTGTTCAAACCCCTAAGTACTAAATATGTGGACCCCAGTGCCTATAGTTGACCTTATACCGAAAATATCAGTCAATCCACAAAGAAATCTCAAACGAGTATACCATTTGACTTTGCGAGAGTATAAAATGTTCGGTTACATCCGAACTTAGCCCTTCCTTACTTGTTAAAATTGTAGTTTTTGTAGAGAAAATCGCATTTAAAGATAAACTGATGGAGCTGATTGAGCTGAGTGGCAACACTTTAGAAGGCTGTAACCCAAAAACTATTTGAGATATCGATTTTAAATTTTCGTATATAATTTTTTAAAGTATAACTTACCGAAATATGGAAAAAATGTATTTGTTTCTTTTGTGTGCCTCTTAAAATAATTGCCGACAATACTAATAAGAAGTGGTTGAATCTATAACTAAATGAGTGGTAAATCGAATATTTAATAATTAAATTAGATATACATATATCTAAATATTTTATTTTGTACATATTAGAAAAGTACAAATTTTCAAGTCTATTACTTCCCATGTTTGCTCTCTTGCAAGATTTATTATCTCCAACCGGAATAAGACAATAAATCATATGATTTAGAACCACTGCATCAAGCGAAGCTATTGCTTTTATAAATGCCTATAGACACAAAGATAACGTATTAATAACATCTTACCTCCAACGTATTGAAATTTGCCGGCGATCAGTCGTACATATGTACGTACAAGAGTTTAGATAAAATGTTCCGTCATTTACATGGAAAGATACGGCTTCTAACTGTGTATTTTACAAGTAATCCTACAACTTTGGGCGCATTGCAACAATGTTTAGTCATACACTAAGTCACTGTGACGAGATTTTGACTCTCGTCCTTTTCGTTGCTAAGCACGAATGTCATAACTTCGTGAATATTTTCCATTCAAATAGTAAACAAATAAACAAAGTCACATGAAAACATATAACAAACTGACACTTTTGAAGCCGCCACACACACTATATTTATATACTCGTACATCAACTTAATAATTATATTGTTTGCAAAATTTATTTATGTACATACATATGTAAGTAGTAGAGAAAGTTTTAAACTATGATGACATTGAATCCGCATGAGTTTATTAAACGCATAAAAACTATTAACTGTAACTATATGAATATCTATATATTTCCATATATATATATATATATATATATATATATTTGTGTCTGAGTCATTATCCTCAAGCTAAAATAGGTAGGTCTGTAAAAGTAAACTTTGTCGTGGCCAGGACGCGCCCCAACTGACTGAATATACGTAGTCCATATGCAACAGATGCATGCATAAATATATGCAAATATATACACTTGTTTATATATATATTATTGTAGCTCGTACTTGTTATATACAAACATACATATGTATATCCACATAGGTACATAGTTAATTTGTAGCTTGTTTTCAAAGTCGTTCGCGTTAATTTATGTATGAAAAAACGTTTCATATTCATTGCCACTAAATACATAATACATACATATTGTATGTAAAACAGATTTATTTTAACATAAGTACATATGTCTTGTGTGCGAAAATGTGTACTTGAAAATGTTACTGCTATCTGAATATCTGCTATAATATACACAAATATGACGAATCCATTTTTCTAATTGGAGCAAAATAATAAATTATGATATTTTACATGATTAAAAGCTTTACTAGTGTCTGTGTATTTATTTGTATTGAAATGGTTGACACACAACGAGAATTTGCATGCCATATAAGGAGAAGGCTTGGCAACACTCTTTGCAATTTTTTTGCTCAATTCGATGGAGTAGAAGATTGTGTTAAGGGTTCGTTCACAACAGAAAGAAAGACGATGAATAACAAAGTTGATAGATTAGATACTTTAATGGACTCTCTATCCTCTGAAAGCGGAGCGGAAATTAGTGAAAATTAACCATGGGTAATCAACCAGTAGCTCAATTGATTACCGCTGAGAATCTTCACGGTGGCTCAGCTTGACGACTGTAAAATAACCACTAAAAAATAAGTTGTCCATACTAGAACTTGATTTTGATAAGTTAGTTTGTATGGAAGCTATATGCTTTAGTGGTTCAACCTGAACAATGTATTCGATGCATTTTGCAATTTTGTGAATACATCTTGGCAAATAAAAGGTTTTTCCCGCAAGGACTTGATTTTATTCGACCATTGTGTATGGCAGCTATACGCTATAGTAGTTGGATATCGCCGGTTCCGACAAATGAGCAGCTTCTTGGGGAGAAAAGAACGGTTGAAAATCGTTCATCGAAAATCAGATCGACATCTCCAAAACTGGGGGGTTAGTTCGCGAAAATGTAGACAGACAGACAGAAAGATAGACGCGCTTTGGCAAAAAATCCACTCAGCTAGTAACGCTGATCATTTATAAATATACTTAATAGGATCTCCGATGTTTCCTTCTAGTTATATTCTATGCAGGGTACAAATATGGATTTGTTCTAACATCCTGAAAAAACGAATTGCCCCAATCGCCTCGCCCAATTACCTAGAAGTTCTTCAAAGCATGTTTACAACATCACATCTATGTACATTGTTACAAATTAATTTACAATAAATAATAAAATCGTTTCGAAGTTCTGTTTACAATTGTCTGGAAATGTGTTAATTACAGCAAATAACTGTTTTAGTATAGAATACCTGCTAAATACAGTTACCTAAGATAAATTACTAATTAGCGTAACTTAACCGTACTTTAATGTGTGTACACTTGTATTAATGCGACATTTTTCCGCTTAATTAACTTACGCCGGAAACTTTTACATGTATGTGTGTGTTAATCGATGAGGCAAAGCAACAATGATTCAATACATTAAAATTGTATAAGTAAAAAATAAGTTTTTTTTTTAAATTAAAAAAAAAACACACACATAATAAAGTATTAAAAACTATTTACAAGCGTTTAACGAATTGCACATGTCCGATCGCATTGAGTCGAGCCTCTTTTATGCACTACCAGTTCAATTATTCAGTCATTATGAATTCTATGGCGCTCAGCGGCCTTAATGGGGCTTATTAAAGTCATATCAACACGCACTCACACACCTAATTATATACATATGTATATGTATGGATGTATGTAGAGGTACCTGAGAAATGCCACAGGGTCATAATGTTTAAATTGACTGACTTCGAAAATTGTTTGTCATATACAAATCTTGCTTAATTGAGGAGAATAATAACATGCATGCTTTCTTAGATGCAAGGAGACGGGTTCAATGTACTTCGTCAACATTTAGTCTCAGCATGCGAGAATGCGTGAATTTGCATTCACAGCTTGTGCGTTTCTCCATATGGATGCATATGTGTGTGAATTTGTGAATGAGAATGTTACACACACGCGCGTACTTATAAGCCATGTCAATTGAGTTGACGTCTAAAGAAGACTTCACTATTGAATATAATTTAATAAAAATGCAATGAAATCATAACTATCAACTTAAAAATAGGCCAACGAAATCAATTCTAGTGGAAATATCAATTAACAATTAATGTGCAAAGAATGAATAAACTGAAATAAAGTTTACTGAAAAACTAAACGTCGACGAAAAATATACCATATATAACTGTATTCTTATATATGTACATATACATACTACTACTACGTACTATAAGCACATCTCAGCCTTTTGTAAAGTAAATAATAGAAATAACCATATTTCCAAATTTTTTATGCAGACAAAAGTAAGTAAGTTTTAATGGCGTGTTATGAGCACCCTGTTGTCAAATTAACCGATTACTGTTTCATCTCTTCCGCGTCATCTGCTGTTTGTAAATATATATGTAAACATAAAACAGCTGATTGATTTATTTATTAAATTTTTAATTTATTCAAAAGTTTTTGGCAGTGAATAATATACATTTACAGAATTTAATATAATTTAATACTCAGTGACTAATTTTGCAAGATTTTGTATACCCTCGATCTCGTAGCCGATCTACAGAAAGACCTCCGAAAAAAGTTATCTGGCGGTGAGGAAAAATGTTCTGCCTAAAATTATCTCAAATTCATCATAAATTTTATTTGCGATATATGTATGAATGTAGATAATGGTCGAAGGACTAATCAGAATTTTATTTTTTAACTATATGGTCACATCCAAAACAATTTTTTTTTTTTTGGAAAAATTTACACTTCAGAGTTGCTTTATAATCGAAATTGTTATCTACGAATTTGGATCCTTCGGTTATTACCGTACAAGCGTTTCTAAGAAGGTCGTGCGAAAACTTCTAGTTGATCGGTCCAGTCGATCACACAATTCGGGAAAGTTTTTTCCCCGACTCTGAAACTAGCGTTTCGCGAATATCGGGCTTAAAGTTTTGGAGCCGATTACGCTAAATTAAAAAATTCTAAAAAATATTTTTCCTCCAATCCTGCTCGTCAATTATAAAAACATGGTTTTCAGAAAATTTCAAAGCTTCAAACTTTTGCGCGCCGATTGGCACGTGGTCAATGCACCTAATCATTACGTGTAGTATCTTTTGAACTAGTTCGAAATCGAGGCTAAAATTTTACACATATGTGTATTTTCGGATAGTTTTGCTTTGAATAGTTCGATCTCTTCAAAATGTGACACAACATTGTCGTAATTCAGTGGCTGCATTCGTTGAGATTAATATTCCATACTGTTTGCCTACAAATTGGCTTGAATATTGTGCAGATATTATGAATCAGTGCCGCAATGTTGCAAAAGTATTACAAAGAATAAACTATAAAAAATGAGACTCAAAAATCGTTTTTCTTACATATTTACAATCCTTCTGCTGTAACCTGTACCTTTCGTAGAATGAATACTAGGTATTAACTGGGACATACAACTTTCAGTGACAACTGTGTATTTTCCTCTTCCGCATGCCGAAAATTGCAGTTTGATATTTCTGCACAAAATCTATTTGGGTTTTCAACTACTATAATTTGTTTCTTGTTATAAAAATAAAGACATTTTGTTGACAATGAAATGTTTAATGTCAAATATAAACTAAAGTTTTGCAAAACTAAATATTTTTCTTCAATTTTTTTCCGCCATTTACTTTCCTAAAGTTCCCCGAAAATTATTTATCTTGTTTGTTTTTGTGTTTTTTTAACTACATACATATGTATAAATATATTATAATTGAATAACAACCACTTCTAGTTGCCATAATATTTACATAAAACAAATAAATTAATTAATTTAAATGTAAAATCGATTGAGTGTCAGCTTGAATTGACAGTTGTTAAGTTAATAATTGTAATTGTTTATCATGTTTGTGCACTTAATGTACACATATAGTGACAAATTAAATAAATTTGTATTCGATTAACTACGCAACGAAAGACCATAAGGGCATAATATAATAAAATTATAGAAAATATAACAATTATAAAGTTTAAAGTGTATATTTCTGCTTTTGCGATAAATTGAAGTTTTGTTATAAGACTTATAGTGAGTTATTTAACACGTGTATATACGTGGTAATTAATGGTAATTTGAAAACGCTAAAAGCATTTTGTAAACAAAATAGTAATTAGTTAGCAGACAAGTGCACTTTATTGTTGTATATACACACCTATGTACATATGTGTATATATGTATATAGTTAAATATAAATCTATATCTGTATAATACTGCAATAAAGAAATAGTTAAAATAAAAAGTGTACAAAGAAAAATTACAAAAATATATATGTATGTAAAAAAGGTGCAAAACAAACAAAAACAATAACAACAATAAAAGAAAAAATATACCATAATATCAGCAACATTTAAAAAGGAAATAAAAAAATATTTTGTTTTTCACGTGTTAATAAGAAAATAATAATTTAATAAATATGTAGATTATAATATATATGTACAAACTAGTATGCACTCGTGCACTAACTACGCCACCACTCTAACACATATGACAAATTTTGCGGAATTATTGCGTTGTAATGATTTTTTACCGCTGTCAAGTTACTACAGTCGCTCTAGTGCTAATGAAGTGTTCGTTCATGTGAACAAATGCAGTCGTATATCTAAATAGCTCTATATGGTTCCATAGTATAAGTACTTCAAGGTATTTATCGCAAATTTTCAATAGACTATTTGACGTTCTAATAAGCTTCTAGTGCTTATAGAGGTAATTACTGACGATGACACTTGTCATTTAATGTGACAAATTATTATATAATGATATTCATAAAATGTCAATAATAAAAGAAACCGATAATGCCCAGACATAAGATAAGAAACAAGGTCGTAAAAATATGCAAGTAATTGTAATCACACATTTAACTCTAGCGATTATTATCAAAGTGGCAAGTCAATCGTTTCAACAGCAACGTTAAAATTTAGAGAATGGTGAATCGAACAAACAGTTGGCTTAATCCAAACTTTCAAATCAAATCTTAATATTTAGTAACTTGTTTAAAGAACTCAAACAGCTAGCAGAGACGTGACGGTTCGAAAGTAAAACTAAGCAAATTTTTATACAATGTATGCCAAATTTTTATGTAGTTGCCACCAATGGGAAAAAATGAATATATTTGAATTTGGTATAGAGTTGCCATATATCGAAGAGTGACAACCTAAAAAGGACGATTCTGGGCTAAAGGCCTATTGTATTAATTGTTTTAAAAATTTAAGGGTATATTTATACATATTTTTAGAGTACATAGAAAAAGTTATAGTGATTGAATCATTTATCTCGGAATAATCAATCGAACAAACTTAAAAAATGTAGTTTTGAAAAAAAAACGCGTCTGAAGATAAACTGATGGAGCTGATTGAACTGAGCGGTTACATTTTAGAAGGCTGTTACTCAAAAACTATTTGATACATCTATTTATTTAAAATTTTAGTATGTTCTTTTTAAAGGTCTAATCGAAAATTTTAAAAAGTTTTAAAACATTTAGAATGAAATTATTTTTAAATTGATTATTTATATTTCTAGTAGGAGCTCTACTTTTTTCAGCAGTGCATACATTTTAAGACAAAAGTTCATTTTCAAAATTTTTCTAATTTTATTTGTGGTTTTTTGAAAGTGTTTAAGATTCACCTCACTTTCTACTCGTTTTTTCATAACAAAATTAGTATTAATAAATTAGTTAAAAAAAGGTAAGGCAAGAAGTTTGGAAAACCCATTTCACTTAAAAATGCTTCCAATACTTATGGCTACTTCTCTAAATTTATATCAACATCCATAAATTATATACATTCACACATATGTATATGCACACTTTTTTATTTTTAGTAAAGTTGCTAATTTACTATTATGAAAAAACCTATAACAAATAGGCGCCGTCAAGAAAGTATTTTTATATTCTGGAATGTCGCAGCAGTGATTTATACAAGCGGCTTAAGCAGCTATTGACGCAAGTCATTTTATATGCAAACACATACTTATGTATGTATATGTTTAGACTATCGGCAAATCACACTTTTTTGGATGGTTCTTAGCGGAATTTTCCCAAAAACAAACACAATTGCATAAGAAAGATATTTTTATAAGCATTTATGATGTAGGCTTACCATAAACTCGTATGCATGTATGTATGTGTATGTGTACATACATAGAAAACATATTTGCATTAACGCGAATGTGACCAAATACATACCACTGCAAATATGTGACAGTGTAGGTGTGTGTGCGTGCCAATATTTATCAGTCGGCTGGCCGCGAGCGAGTCGAGCCCCCTTTTTCAGCAGAGGCTCGAATGCCATAAAGCGCTAGCAGGCGTGTGTACTGAAATATCAATGTGCATATGTGTTTGTGTGCGTGTCTGCGACTTTATTATACTGAATATTTCAATGCTATGATAAGCAGCATTAACGATTACTTAACAGTTGTTTGCATAGCGGAAATGCGAGGATTTGAAATTTCCACATTAGCTTTTTATGGCATCCATTGGAATTTAGAGTTTAACGGTATCTACTGCATTTTGTTGTTGTTTCACTTTTTTGCTTTCCTGTTGCGGGGTTAGTTCCACGCTTTTAATAAATTCCAGGGATTGTGAGAGCATTATGTGTTTTATCTTTCAGTTCCGTTGTACCGTTTTTTGTATGAATGTGTATAATTTTAGGAATTTTGTTTTGTTATTGTGCCCACGTAATTTTGCTAATAATATATAAAGCGAAAATACACACTACAAGATTGCATTAAGCAAGCGTTCGTTATATATGAAATAGCTCAATTAGAATGTTTCAGCGACTAAACCCTAGTTTACTTCAAACCTTTACAGCGGCATTCGATATATCGATATATTTAGTGGCAATGAAGCTAACACTAATATTGCTTGACATTTATCAATTTTTTGTGTTGCAATTTTCTCCTTAATAGAGTCTGTTTAAAGATCACAGCAAATCTGAAAATTCTGTTTTACTTTTTATTGAATTGTTCGAAACCGATTAGCAAACATTTTATGTCCATATCATGAATATTATGCCCAAAACCGGAATATCATCCTTCATTCGTATACCATATATGTATGTATAAATGTATGTATATATGTAGGTATATGTACAGTTTTTTCATTAATGTATAAGGAACTCAAAATTATCGCACAATAAAAATAGATTCGACTAACTAATTAACATTCAACGAAAATTTAGCTCAAAAGCAGAACAAGTTAGTTGACATTTATGCATTTCAGACATATGTATATATGAATATGTTTGTCGGCACATATTTGCAAAAATATACTTGCAGTTTTATTTTAAATTAATCTATAGAGAAATTCCTATTTTGTTTATATAATGCATTTAAATGGCATAAGGAATTGGCGAAGAATTCTTTGAGTCAAGGTTATCTGCATATCTGGCTCTTCTTTTCCTACATATGTATGTATGTCAGCAGCAAATTTTGTTTTCGTCTGCATACACGCAAATTAGTAACTCAGTTTTTGAGGGAGGGAGAGTATTTTGACGAGATATTGCCTAATGCAACGCTGAAATCTCCAAAAAACTGATTTACATACGAACTAATCGATAAAAATAAAGTTCATGTATGGCAACTTCTTTTATATGTGAAGCGTACATTTTTTTTTCAATTTTTTATAAATAAGTGTAAATTATTTTTGTGAATTTAGTGTGTTAATTTAAAAACGGCGTCTTGAATAAATAACTGTAAATTTCATACAAACAATAATAGTGTTGATGCTCATTATTTCCTGTGAATATTCATAATGTTGGCTGTTGGCATATACTTATGTCCATATGTATGCATATGTATGTTATTCACACATGTTTGCATATAATGTATATTAACATACATGTATGGTCGACGACCTATTGATAGCGATTTTCTCAGGCAGACATTCAAATGAACTTACTTATATTCAAGGTTATTTTTAGCAACTGAAACAACATGTAGACCCACTTGTGCGCACAAGTGTCGTCTAATTAGATTCTATATTAAGTAGGTTAGTGACAGTTGCTTTTATTTGACAAAAAACAAAATATGAAAGATAAACATTGCGTATAAATAAATTATTCATAAATACTATATAAAGTTTAAATCGAAATTTATGGAGGTCAGGAAATAAATTTACTTCAAATAATATCATATCAATTCTAATTTGAGAAGCTTAACTACCTCATTACTAAAACAAAACACAGATAATAATTTATTGTCACACAAATATACATACATATCGTTTGCACGTGATTGGCATAATTATATGAAAACCGCTTATATCACGTGATATCCGTTGACATTCAATAATCACCATTGCATTATATTGTATAAGGCCTATCAAAATTCATTATTTTTGTATTAAATTGAAGATTTTATTTGACATAGTTATGAGAATGATCGGATTTATGTCTGATATGCATCGTTTTGTTCGATTACTTATTGCCATTTTGAAGGTAATTGCATAATGACACTCCCATAACAACCCTCGTTCCTCATTGGCAATAAAATGGAACAGTTGATTTTTACAAGTTTCTTTTGAGACGAGTTTTTATCAGCAAAATCATTCACCATAGACAGAAACAAATAGTAATCACTTGATGCCCGTACTATGAGGTGGCTGCATAAGAACCTCCCTGCCAAGCTAC